TTATTGTTGTTACTACATATTTTATTTAAGCCCTTATCGACATTTTCACCAATATTTTCCTAAATTAAATTTTTGTTCAGCTGTCTTTGAACTGATTCCTTAACTTTCTCGTCTTGTAATTGGGCTGTATCAATATTTTTGCGAGACTTCTTTTTGATCATCTTTTTGAATGTTAATTGGGTTAGCAGAAAGCTACGAATGTGGAAAACCTACAATGGCTTTATTCATCGACTTTAAACAAGCGTTCGATAGGATAAAACGCAAAGAAATATACAAAGCACTACGTGAAATGGGAATTAGTGAACAACTGATAAGAATGGTAAAAGTGACACTACGAAGAACAGAGAATAGGGTTAAAATAAATGGCGAAGAACCAGATAAGATTGAGATCAGTGAGGGGGTGCGACAAGGAGACCCACTGTCATCGCTGTTGTTCAGTATCGTCCTCGAAGTTACCATCAGAGAAGCTGGAATGCTTAGCATTCGCTGACGACATTGTACTGATAGCCAGAAGTAAGCAAGAATTAAAAGAAATAACAAAAAGATTAGAAATGAAAGCGAGAAAGAAAGGGATGTACATAAATGAAGAAAAGACCAAATACATGGAATGGACAGAAAGGGATTACCTACAAGACCAATATCTGACAGTAATAACAGATGAAAAAACGTATAAATTCGAAGAAGTAGAAATATTCCAGTATTTAGGAGCGACATTCACGAGAAGACCAAATATGAAGGAAGAAATCCAAGCGAGAATTATGGCCGGTAACCGTTGTATTTTGGCACTAAACAATTTATTAAGAAGCAAAAACATATCTAGAAGGGCTAAGATAAGAATATATAAGACAGTAATAAGACCTATTGTATTATATGCCAGTGAAACATGGACAATGAACAAATCCGAGCAAGTCCTGCTGCAAGTCTGGGAAAGAAAAGTCCTCAGGAAAATATTTGGAGGTAAATTATAGAATGGTATATGGATAAAAAGACCAAATATGGAATTAGAGGAGATGTATGGAGAACCGAATATCGTAGGGATCATAAAGTCACAAAGACTGAGATGGTTGGGACACATCCAAAGGATGCAAAACACGAGACTGCCAAAAAGAATGCTAATGGGAGGAATAGGAGAGAAAAGGAAGAAAGGCAGACCGAAAACCAGATGGAAGAAGGATGTTGAAAAAGACATAGAAAAACTTAAAATACCAAACTGGAAAAATAAAGCAACAAACAGAAAAGAATGGAAAAGAATAGTAAACCAAGCCATGGGCCTTCTAGGCCTGGAGAGCTATATTATATATATATATATATATATATATATATATATATATATATATATATATTATATATATATATATATATATATATATATATATATATATACATATATATTTTTATATATATATATATATATATATATATATATATAAATATATATGTATATATATATATATATATATATATATATATATATATATTATATATATATATATATATATATATATATATATATATATATATATATATATATATATACATATATATATATATACATATATATTTTTATATATATATATATATATATATATATATATATATATATATATATAAATATATATGTATATATATATATATATATATATATATATATATATATTGTTATGCTATTTAAATTGTATTCTATTGCTTATTTAGAAAAGATCCTGTCTATATTTATTAAATGATCTAATCTCCAATTAATCACAATAAATCAGCATTAATTAATTACAATCTCAGGCTATTTAACTTGTACTATTTACCTTTGATCGTGGATTCAAAATATTTTCCAATTGGCTTCCTAATTGGGATAGGTAATATGACCTGAATAAAATACACAGAATTTCAACTGAACTATATGTGAGATGTCCTTTATTTTAATGAAATTTTATATAACAATCAATCCTGTAATATTTGCAATATAATACTTTAAATATATATGAGAAGTTGTTTTCTATCATGGACCCAAATGTTATTTTACATTGATTTTTAATATGTGTTATAACTAAGCTCTCTTTATAATTTTTTTCTTTAAATGATCGCAAAATTAACTGTCTCTATTATTTATTCAATTTATTTAATTAATAAATGAAAACCACACTCCTGCTCTAATGAAAATTGACTGACCTTTCGTTCTCTGCCGTTGTAATTCTATGGCCACGCCATAAAAAAAAAACTTTCTCTGCTTCTGCTCCTATTGTGGTCCAGATGACGTACACCTTTCTCCTATCTGTCCTTGTATCTGCAACCCAACAACGCGTGTAATTCTATGCAGCCTCCTTTTGAGCGAAACTCCGCGCCTGTTTATATCTTCAAATGTTTCCGGCTTCGTCTGATATTAATATTCTTATAACCTTTGGTTTTTCTATCTCTCTGTACCCCGTTCCTTACACTGATCAGCTTTTACACAGCAAATAAACACACCCGGTAAATTACGTCTTCGGGACTTCAAACAAACACAAACCACAAAGCTCCTTCCTTCTTGGGCGACGAAAACTGACTAACCAACTTTTTTCCTCTCTCCTCATAGCCAAAACCACTACCTCCATTGCATTCAAAAATTGACCAATAAAAATCATCCACCTCTGTGACGTATATCGTTACCAACCAACTCTCTTTATAAAACGTCATTCGGGTAATTCCAGAAAACAACATTCTTTAATTATTCTAACTAAATCTATCTGCTTTACAAATATTTCTTACTAATAGCTACAAACGATACCTGTTTCTCAATTCAATGTCTTTTGTTAATAAACTTTTACCGATATAATCTTTCGGGGAGAAAAACCACCGCAAATCCCGGTCTATTGTTTAAACTTCTTATCGATAATATTTGAAAGTCTTGTCTCTGAGGCCTAATGAACAATTCTTCGAACAACTTAAAATACATATTTTGTCTTATACAGGATGTTTGAAAATTTATATGCCCGTGTCTTTATGAAATATCAATAATTTTAATTTTTATTTAAGTAATAAAATTTGTATATCGGTTTTTTATTGCTTATGGACATTCAAAAGTACAACAATATATATATATATATATATATATATATATATATATATATATATATATAAAACTCGAGGTACAAAGTGCTAAATTTGGACTCATGGTTAACTACAACAAAACCAAAATCATGGTTATTGGTCGCCAACAACAGTTTCCTGAAACCCAAACTATTGCGGGATGCGAGGTAGTCTCATCTATGATATATCTTGGAGCTCTAGTTAACAACACAGGCAGTTGTGAATCCGAAATTAGAAGACGCATTCAACTAGCAAGAGCAGCAATGAGTGAACTAAACGGAGTCTGGCGTGATCGTCACATTACTATGACAAACAAAAAGAGACTCGTTTCAACTCTGGTCTTTTCCATATTTTACTATGCATGCGAGACATGGACAGTCAAAGAATCAGATCGACGACGTATAGACGCCTTTGAAATGTGGACATGGAGACGCCTGCTTCGAATTCCATGGACGGCTCGCCGTACAAATATCTCGGTTCTGGATGAAATTAAACCGGATCAACGTCTCTCCAGTACCGTTTACTCTAAAATTTTAAAGTTCTTTGGCCATATCCATCGAAGTGATCACAAAATGGAGCGGTTGGTGGTCCAAGGAAGGCCTCAGACTCAACGCCAACGCGGAAGATCTCCACAGCGATGGGCGGACATTACTAAAAAGCTTCTCAATAAACAATATACTGAGGCAATACATATAACTGATGACCGCGACCAGTTGAGAAATATTATCAATCAAACTGTCCGAGCTGCTGAAGCCCAATTATGAACCACAACACATCTACTAAGATGTTAATGACTGTGATGATATATATATATATATATATATATATATATATATATATATATATATATATATATATATATATATATATATTACCTGACTCAAACATGCTTCTGACGTTCCATGTGGCTATTTTGCAAGGATTTCGCATATTAACGATCTGAGAGGCCCTGCAGTCTTGAGATTGTCCTCTTTTGCCGGTTCTTGGATTCTGTGATCCATGATCATTAATGTTTTGAGTTAAATTATTTACAGCCGTGATAGTTAAAACTAGGAGTGCCAAAAGGCATTTAATGCAGTAGTTCTCCTTTGCTTTCTGCATCCTTATGCCGTTGAATAATTTGTAGTTTTATAGTTGTTCCGCCTTCGGAATCAATTTCTCCATTTCAGGACAAAAGAGTGCTCTACCACTTACTAACTCGTCCGCCCGAAGCCGTTGGTCAGTAAGTGGGGGATGCTTATACCAGCAATCACATAATTGAAGATGGTATCTCTATAACAGAGTCTATTGAAGGTTTATAACGACCAATATCTTCTGCTTCAAATGTTGCCTTTTATTGCTTCTGTTGTCTTCTAGTTTTTGTTATATAATAACGGCATTATCTTCTGGTTTATTTTTCACTCAAATTTATTACACCCGAGCTCGTTGTGTCTACTATTATATTTTCTACTATTTTCTTCGTTTAGAACTGCAAAAGTTTTATCGTGAAGAGTTCTGTTTTGGTCTTCATGATATCAGTCTCGTCTTGCCAGAATCCAATTAGATCTGAGTCATCACCATTTTCTAAATAATATAAGATTTACTTCTCAATAAGAGGTTTTTATTTTTAGACTTCTTCTTTTTCTTAGTCTTCTTCCTTTTCTGCATTCCAGGTTTTAACAATATCTTTCCTATTCTGACATCAAACTTTGCTCAACCTTGGTGTTTGAGTAGAATTTATCAATACCCTGTAAGATTTTAATATTTTAAGTATAAAACCTATCAAAATTCAATGAAGGATGTAGAAAATAATAAATTTATATTTATGGTATCTTTTACATGGTTCGTGGTTAATGTGAAGAATAGTCAATAAGGTACAAAACCCTGAATCATAAATTGTAATTAAAGTCTTAATTTAAACCATTAACTTATATTAGACTCTTAATGTTTGATTATTTTAGCCCACGTAATACCTGGTTTATTGCTGCTTATCATCAGCTTCATCGGTTGTAGTTGGATTCCAGTGATAATCCTGCTGACTCTAAGCTTGGGTTTTAATGGTGCATGTGTGCAAAATATCTTAATCAACCCACAAGATCTGGCTCCCAACTTTTCTGGCACCATATACGCTCTGAATAGCTTTTTCGCTGGAATGACAGGATTTATAGTGCCAGCACTAAACGGAGAATTCACGAAAAATGAAGTAAGTATAATCGATATTTTTAACTTACATTTTTATTTGTATTGCTTACGGTATAAGTCTACTTGCTATAACTGGTTTGGATATATGGTAGATTCAGCTTTGAGAAAGTTTTGAGTCATTAACCAGCCACAAAAATTGTACAAAAAGCAAAAGTATAAAATTCAAGGTATTTTGAATAACAATTCTCAAGTAAATCTAGTCGATCGATAAATTATTAGTACTGTGAGAAATAGAGTATTACGGTTCAGTTAACATAATTCATTGATCTCTACCAAAATGAATTAAGACGCTAGATAATCGGAACATACAAATAGCACCATATAAGAGAGCTAAATGTATTAGTAGTATTTTATCTAGATATTCTGGACTGGCATCGTTAGTCTGCCGAATGGATATTCAACGTTAGCAATTAAATGTCAGAATTTGTCTCTGGCATGACTATTTGTCAAGTTTTATGATAGTTGTGAGAACCTTTTACATATTTCCTATTCAAAACATATTTGTTTTCGTTATATTCCACCTCTGCTGTCGACGTTTTTTCGATTATATTCAGTAGACTTATGTTTTCAATTTTTTATTTTATTATGATAAATATAATATTTAACATTTTTTTATTATTCCCTTTTATGCAGAATCTTTTAATTATTTAATATATATGTTCAATTAAAGAAAGAAATGAAAGAATATAAAGTTGATATACTAATTCTCAGTAAAATACCATAGAATGAGACTGGTGGACACATTAACATGAAAGGCAACCTGCTGATATACTCTGATAAAACAGATGAAGAAAAACGTCAAATAAAGTAAAAATCAAATAATCTTTAGCAAAGTCATAAAGAAATCTCTTATAAAATGGGAACCAGTTTCAGAGCGAATAATTACTACAAGAATTGGGACCAAATTAAAACAGTTAACACTGAGTCAGTGTTAAGCATCAATAGAACAAGCAACTGAACAAGAAAAAGGGTCTTTCGAGGCGTCTTGAAGCAAGCTTAGAACAAATTAAACTATACGATATAAGGTTGAACACTGAACACCAACCTAGTCCAAGTTATGGGAAACATGGCATTTTGATATCATCATCATCATCATCATCAATTAGCCCTGAGTTGTCCATTGTTGAATATAGACCTCCTCCTCAGCACTGCAGAGATATGAACAAAGCCGTGTACATATGCTTTAGAGACTACGCAAAAGCATTCGATAACGTAAAGCACGAAAAGATAATTGCAGTTCTCCATAAGATCGGAGTCGACTACAGAGACATTCGAACAATAGCGAGTCTCTATTGGGGCCAAACAGCTAAAGTGAAAGTAGGATCTACATTGACCAATAAAATTGAGATCAAGAAAGGGGTACGACAGGGCTGTATCTTGTCTCCAATTCTCCTTAATATATACTCAGAAGAAGTATTTAAGACAGCGCTGGAGAAAAGCACAGAAGGCATAAAGATAAATGGAGAAATAATTAATAACATACGGTATGCTGATGACAATGTGATTCCAGCAAGTAGCATAGAGGAACTGAGTTGCCTAATGAGTAAGATACAAAAAACAAGTGCACAATACGGACTCAGACTAAATATCACAAAAACCAAATGGATGTTAGTAAGCAAAACCCAACAACCACCACAGCAACTGATATTAGACAATAAAAGAATTGAACACGTGGATTCGTACATCCACTTGGGAACAACAGTTAACTCAAATTGGGATCAAGCGAAGGAAATACGTATAAGAGTAGAAAAGGCAAGAGCATCGTTTACTAGCATGAAGCAAATTTTCACCTCTAAAAGCCTCACCCTACCTCTCAAAATTCGACTTCTGAAATGTTATGTATTCCCGGTTTTGTTATATAGAAAGGAGGCGTGGACAATTACCGCAACATCGATGAAAAAAGTAAAGGCCTTCGAAATGTGGGCTTACCGACGTATATTACGTATATCCTAGACTGAGCACGTGACCAACGAAGAGGTACTACGCCGGATAGGTAAAGGGAGAGAGGTAGGAATAAGTATAAAGAAAAGAAAGTTGGAATACTTGGGTCACGTTATAAGGCATAATAAATACTACAGCTGATCGTTCAAGGGAAAATAGACAGCAGAAGGGGTCCAAGGAGGAGAAGACACTCGTGGCTCCAAAACTTGCGGCAATGGTTCGGATTGTCATCTGCTGAACTATTCAGAGAAATAACAATGGTGGACATTTCATTGACCTGCGTAGTAACCATGACCTAATAATTGGAGAACTTTGTTTCCACAAATCCATAAAGTGTCATAGAAGTCGCCAGACAAACGCACTTACAATCAAATTGACTACCTATATCGCAACAAGCAAGCAGTGAAGATTGTCTATCTTAATATAAAGAGGCACAGATCAATAACTGATGATGACTGAAATTAGATTGGAGAACCGAACAGACCTTTATAAAAAAGTTTAGTGTTGGGGGACTACAAAACAACAAGCTAAAATAGGCAAAGGGCAGGACAAATTTTAAGAAATGATTAACAGTGCCCTTGTGGAAACAAGTGAAAATATTTTGGTCTTAAAGAAATACGTAAGGAAAGAGTGGATCACCAGAGAAACATGGAACCAAATAAAACATCGCAAAGACTTTAATCTAGAACTACTAAATTCCAGAACAGAAGCAAAGAAGAAACATCTTAGAGAGAGTAACTAAGAAACGAACAAATATGTCAAGAAGGTAGTAAATTAAGACAAAAAAAAAATGACCAGAAAATCTTGCTCAAGAAGCACAGTTCGCCGATTAAAAAAATGAGACAATTATATATTATTATTAAACAACTAGCCAACAAAACATTTGCTACCCACCAACCAATTGTAAAAAATATTACAGGTGAAGATATAACATGGAAACCCACAGAAAAAAATCAAAAGTCATAAATATTTCAGTGAATCTCTTAGTGCACTCTAACATTACACGAAGACGGACAAAATATAAACCCCAATATCAAAAAACTAAGAAATACCACTAATGAATCAACAACGCAAGAAATAGAAATAACCATAGAAAAACTGAAAGTGCACAAAGCAGCCTAACAATATTTCACCAGAGTTATTAAAAGCCTGCCCAAACATAACAACAGAGCCAATCAAACTACTCTTGCAAAGAGCCCGGAGACAAGAAAACTTCCGTAAAGAGTAGAAAACGGAATTTATAATAAAGAATTGGTAAAAAAATGTTTGATGAACTACCTAGAAGAAAAGCATCTATACGCAATGAACTCCTTTTACAAAAAGAAGCCCCAACGAAAGTGGACATGGATCAGCCCTAATGGATCCACAAAAAATGAGATCGACTTCATAGTGTCCACGGAACGATATATCATTAAAGATGTAACAGTTCTTAACAGATTCACAACAGGTAGCGATCACAGGATGGTCAGAGCAAAAATTTGTATTGACGGTAACTATGAGATGAAAAGAAAGATAAGTAGAAACTCGAATCTAGTAGATAGAAACAAACTAGGGCAATATAAAGAGATATACAAAGACCTATTAAAAGAACAACTTACCCAAAGATTAGATATAGACGAAATAGACAACATACTTACAGCAACGATGATTACATCAGGAAAAGAAATGGCAAAGAAGGATCTAAAAAAGAACAACTATATATCAACAGAAAATTGAACCACCAGAAGAAATTAAAAACCAACTTAAGGTCAAAATAAAAAATGTCAACTCAGAGCTGCAGCCCGAAATAAGCAAATCAGAAATAAAGAAGGCATTGAAAGAAATGAAAAACAACAAATCGCCTGGAAAAGATGGAATAACTGCAGAGATGCTGAAATATGGTGGAAAAGTGGTAATTAATACTCTACATTCCCTTTTTAACAGGATATTAAAAGAAAAGAGAATCTCAAACAACTGGAAGGAATCAGTAACCCTTATCCTACACAAGAAAGGGGATAAAGCAGATATAAAAAACTATCGTCCTATAACACTCCTCAATGTAATGTATAAACTCCTAACAAAAATTTTAACCAATAAATTGACGACAAGATTCGATGGATACCAGTCGAAAGAACAAGCTGGTTTTAGAACGGGATTCAGCACAAGTGACCATTTACTAAGTATGAAAATACTTACAGAACGAGCAGATGAATACCACATTCCTCTATATATGGCGTTCATAGATTTCGAAAAGGCTTTCGACAGTGTCGAACATTGGGCAGTGAAAAGTTCTTTGATTAACAGCCGAATTGACCAGATTTACGGAACTAATAACCAATATATATATAAGGAAAGCGAAACAACAATTAAAGTATATGAAGGAACAAAATCATTACAAATAAGTAGAGGCGTGAGAGAGGGGGATACAATATCACCGAAACTTTTCAATCAGGCTCTTGAAGATATTTTTAAAAGATTAGAATAGGAAAAAAAAGCTATAAAAATTTGTGGACAACGCTTGAACCATCTAAGGTACGCTGATGACATCATATTGATAACCGATAAAAAAGAAGAATTATTTGAAATTATGAAAGAACTGGACGTAGAAGCTGAAAAGATAGGCCTTAATATGAATTACAGCAAGACCAAAACTATAACAAATACAGATGAAGACATCACAATGAGAATCGGACAAGATGAAATAGAACAAGTTAAGGATTATATATACCTTGGTCAAACTATAAAACTTAACAAAGAGAACCAAACAGCAGAGATCAAGAGACGAGTTAGACTGGCATGGGCGGCATTTGGCAAACTAAGCTACATTCTTAAAAACAAAAGATATCCCCAACATCTTAAGATCAAAGTATATAATCAATGCGTACTCCCTGTTCTTACTTATGGTTCCGAGTTATAATTTTGTTTTTTCCGAGTTCATCCTAAGACCTACTTTTTCCGAAGCTTGAAATAGTTGCGTCATCATGGCCTGTAGTTCTTCGAAATTTGTAGCGAATATTACAATGTCATCAGCGTATCTTAAATGACTTAGTTTTATTCCTTCTTCTTCTTATAGTGCCGTGCACCTATTGGCGAATTATCTTAAGGCCAGACGTCTGTCTTTTGCGGCATGCAAAAGATCGCCAGTGTTATTTATACTTCCAGGTTTCTTCCATTAACATGTATTTCTTTATCTGCCCAGTTAATGTCTTTGAACACGTCTTCCAGTCCAAGTGCAAATAGCTTTGGTGAGATAACATCTCCCTGCGAACTCTTCTATTGATTGGTATAGCTTTGGTTTTCGCATCTGTTTGTATTTTCATTGTAGGTTTCTTGTAAATATTATGTATGAGCATTCTGTATCGTCTATCCTGCAGTTGTTCATAGCTCTATTGCCCAAAGATCTATGGAGTCGAATGCCTTTTTATAATCAACGAAGCCAATGTATAAGTTTAAGTGATATTCATTGGCTTTCTCTATTAGAGTTCTGATTGTAAGAAGATGATCCGCTGTACTGTAACCCTCTCGGAATCCTGTCTGCCCTACCGGTTGATAGCTATCGAGCTTTGGCGTTAACCTGTTAGTTAATACTCTCATAAACAGTTTGTACATTTGGGACAGCAGGGAGATTGGCCTATCAGATCTCCCCTGTCTCCCATTTTAAAGAGAAGTATTGTCAAACATTTATTCTAATCATCTGGAACATCTCTGTGAATTGTGAATTGAAAAAAATTTTCAATTCTTCGAGAATAATTTCACTTCCCTCCTTCAACATTTCTACAAGTATTCCATCTGGACCCGGAGCTTTATTGTTCTTTAGTTGTGCCATAGCTTGTTTTATTTCGAAGGATTCTATGTTAGGGAGTATTTCTGAGTTGACATTCGTTATCTTTTTCTTAAGATATTCCTTTGCAGGTTTCTTGTTTTTTGAATATCAATTACGGTAAAATGTTTGGGTAACTTTTAGGATTTCGTTCTTTTCTCTTATTTCTTTTCCATCTTTATCCATCAATGAGATTATTATAGGCTTTCCTAAGTTTGATCTTAAGGATTTCAGACCTCGGTTCTTTTCTATTATTTTTTCTACCTTGTTTTTATTATACATTATTAAATCTTCCTTTACTCCCTTCTTTAATTGTTTATTCAGTTCTTTGAAATCATTGGTGTTTCGCTTTCCTTCGCTTAGAAATGTGCCTCTCTTTTTCATCAACCGTTTTGTTCCTTTACTTATTTGATCTTCTTTTCTTTATTAATTGTGTTCATGTCGAAATATTCTTGTTGATAATGTTCTACAAATTCTTGTCTTAAGACTTTTCTGTACTCATCTTGCTTCTGTCCTTATTTTAGTTTTCTATCTGATTACAATAATGATTTGGTCTGTTTTTACTGGTTTTCGTTTATTTATTAAGAATCCTTGGTCTTAAAAGGCGATGATCACGGCCAGTTGTGAATCGATTAAGAGCAGTTATATCTCCAAAAATTGCTTTGTTCCCACACAAGAAGTAATCGATCTCGAACCAAATTAGTACTTTTATTATTGTACTCTGCATTGTACTATGCACTGTATAATTCCACTAACAATAGAACCTTTCTGTCTTTACGTGAATTTTGACTCTGCCTTTTGCGCAGCTCCATGGCCAGGAGTGTTTGCACTATCTTTAACATGCCATCTTCAGAGCTTCGTCTTATAGATTACAAATACCAAATACATTAAGAAAGAGTGATCCTCGACACAAAATACATTAAAAAAAATTAGAATTTCAATACCTCTGTTATAAAGGTAATAACCCTTTTAAAGTAACTAAACATAATACCTTGTAATAAACTACATACTAATTACTGACCGACAATATGGTGCAGTTCCCATCATATTGGTTACATCCAATGGCACTAATATCTCACTATAATATTTACTTTGTCGATATCACTCTTAATTAACGTTATAGGTGCATGCATAATTTGCTATTATATATTATCATTTTATTTTAATTTAGCTGTTTGTTTGTTTTTTGTTGTTTTAGCTTATAGCATATAAATAAGACTATCAAATTGGGGCCTGATAATGGGGCATATATTTTGTAAGCGTTAAAACCGGTAGACCACAATTTACTACCATTAAAAATAAAAACTACTTAACATTGTGGGTATTGACATACTATATCATTACCATGCCATTTACTAGCTTTTTAAAGTTGTAAAGTTGTGAAACTCACGTTTAAAAGGTTCTTGATATACCAATGGCTGACTCATTAAAACGAGGCTGATTTCCTTCGTCAAAGTACGCAAAAAAGTTGCTTAGCAACAGATTAGTATTTGTATATTTTTCTGTCTGAAATTGTGCTAAGAGTTACATATTTCTGATAGATTTTGAAGATATTTTGAATATGGAGATAACAGCGGATCCTGTGTTGTATGCAGAATCGTTTATCCTTAATGAACATTAAGACCGGCCCTTTAGTATGGAAGAAGTTCAATTAGCATTGGATTGTTTAAAACCAAATAAAGTACCAGGATAGAATTGCTGCTAAGTTCTACAAGTTTCCTACAGAAAACGGAAAAGTGTTGGTACTTGGGCTTGCTAATAATTTTTTCGTCAAACCAAACTTTCCTCAGGGTTTTTTATGATGCAATAATTTTTCCTCTTTATTGGAAAGGAAACATGGAAAGTGCAGAAAGTTATCGAGGTATTAGCGTCTTAAATGCAATAACTAAACTCATTGCCGCATTGACTTTAACCAGACTTACCTTGTGGGTACAAAACAATAACATTTTAAATGAGTTCCAGGCAGAATATGAAACCGGTTATTCAACTATAAACTTAATTTTTAATCTAACAAGTATAGTAAAAATCCAACATGCACGGTGCTGCTTAAGTGCTGCTTTTGATACAATTGATCGGCGGGCCCTTTTTTACAAGTTGAGTCACTTGGAATTACCTACTAAAATGCTCAATTTGTTAAAAAGTATGTTTGGGAATACAAAATCGACAGTGTGGTCAAACGAAGGTCTATCTGAATGGTTTAACTGTAATATAGAGTGACACAGGGATATCTTATTTAAGTCTATTACTCTTTGCGCTATTCTTGAATAACCTACATGAAGCATTGGGAGGCAATTTGGAGATGAATGGTTTGATTATAAGGCTTTTATTATATGCAGATGATTTGGTTTTGATGGTAATCAATCTGAAAGTACTAATGTGGATGATTAATAAACTGGAAAAAGACTACAGGATGTGGAATCTGAAAATAAATTTTAAAAAATCCAAACTTCTTGTATTTAGAAGAGGAGGTGGTGTGGTCATGTTATCATGGCAACTAAATTATCGAGTACTAGAGGTAATGAATAACTATAATTATTTGGTAATAATAATAACACCCAACTTGTCGATTAAAGCTCATCAAAAAAAGCCCCAGAGGTAGGGAAAAATTGGCGATTCACACGACTTGGAGTAGTTTAGTGTCTAAGGCTAATATACCCTTTTTGGCTAAAGTAACAGTGTATGAGTGAGTCGTAAGATCAATATTAACTTACGGGTTTTAGATATGGGATCATTTTGAGTAGGATAAGGTAAAAATAAGCACAAGATTTTGTATAAAAAATATGTTTTCTTGTCCATTATGTTAAATTTTAAGACAGGTATTGCTAGAGTCATCCTATATACAATGATTTTACATAAAAAAAGAATATTTATTTGAAACGCAGAATATTAAGCGGCTTCGATCGAAGAAAATACCAAAGAAGATGCGTTTGTGAAACATAAACTTTTAAAACGTGTTTATATCAACTCGGCGACGCAAAAGGGATTGAAATATATTTCGGTGTTTTTAACATATATAAGAGGATTTCAATATTTACCAAGGAAAATGCAAATGCTACAACTATAATTTTTAAATGAATATTTATTTAATTTATTATTTATTAATTATAATGACCTTGTTAGATAGAATTAGTCTTAGTGTAATTTTCTGTATATTAGATAATAATATTTGTTGGCGAACCCCCCTGAATGCATTTGCCAAAGAGAACAAATGTCACTAAAAGAGAATATTGTATTGTAATTTTTTTAATTGGGAATAAAAAGGCATTATTGATTAATTGATAGATTTCAGAAAAAAAAGTCATGATTTTTATATTATTATGCAAGACAGCAAGACACTATTACACATAATTTTGTCTAAACTTAAGTATTGAAAGCAATATTTTAAAACCATTTTGAGCAAATTTTAAGAAACTTGTTTATTTTTAGAATGGAATCGTCCAATGGTCTTATACATTTATAATAGGAGGAGTCGTCTACTGCGTCTCAGGAATCATCTGGATCGTCTTTGGCTCTGTTGAAGAACAAGCTTTTAACCGAAAGGGACAAACTACTGAATGATATTTGATGAAATGTACAATCTATAAATTATATTATTAATTATTATATTATTTTTTGTATAAGGTATTTTTTATTTTTTATATATTTTTCTTATTATGAGGGCGTTCAGAAACGCTCCTGACAAACGAAGACCAGAGATTCCTTAGATAATTTTAAGATACCTTAATCAAATTCACCTAGTACGAAAACGCGTCCTAAGGGAGCTAGAGCTCTTTGAAGATGGCGCCTTGAAATTAGTTCTTTTTAAATACCTTCAGAACGATTCTATAAAAAAAGGAAAACTGGTACGATTATTTATCCTCTATCATCTATCATCATTTGCGAATTTCAATTACCGATCATAGGCGTCCGTTTTGGGTAGGTCAACGGCTATTTTATTACATAACTTTTATGTCTTTACCTTTTAAGCATCCGTGATACTAGACTATTACATTTTCAGATATTCTAATTCTAAAAGGTACTTTTACTCTTACTCTTACTCACTAAGTTATACACTGCAAACGGTAGCCAGATGGTTGGTGGAGAGCGAGTCGTGGGTTCGAAACTAGCTTTTGGAACCGGGAATGGGTCCAACGGACGAAATTAGTAAAGATAGGACAAGATCAGATATATTACAAAAGATACAGAAATAAACTAAAAGATAGATGGGTAAAATGACCAAAGATAAGAAGAGATAGAAACAGGGCGCCACTTAACTTTTTGGGGTTTTAGGAAAAACTTAAGAAACCTTAGAAAAGAAAAGATATAAGGAAAGATATTTAGGTTTTGAGACCAAATTCAAGGAAATATATCAACAGTTAATAATTAAATAAATTTGGTCAACACTCTACATAAACAAATAATAAATATATTATTTGTTTACTTACTTACGAAACTTAATCAGCCTGATCTCTCTTCTAGTCGAAGGTATAATAATAATTTAATATAATAAGTAAATATTCAGAGGTATTGTTATATCAGGATTGTTATATCAATGATATAGGCGGCTGAAGGTATACACAAGTAATAAAAATACACCATCAATTATTAAATGGTGGTATACATATAAAAATTAACAGTTCTATGAATAATAAATACCTTTACAAATACAAAATATCAAAATCATGCACAGTTTAAAGTATTAGCGAAGAGAGCCTCATAGTGATTAAAATTATTCAACTCAAACTGATCGAAGAAAGATCTCTTTGCTGTTTATTGGCGTCACTCATCATCATCATCATTCCTCAACCTCTTGCATTCACTGTTGAATATAGGTCTTCTCCATGTTCTTCCACTGTTCTCTATCTTGCGCCTTCTGTATCCAATTTCCGACTGATTTTCTCAAGTCGTCCATCCATCTTTTTGGTGGTCTGCCTCGGTGTCGTTTGTCTTCTCTAAGTCTTCATTCTATGAGTCTTTTGGTCCACCTATTATCATTTAAACGTGCTATATGTCCAGCCCATCTCAATTTGGCTTGTGCAATTTTTTCTATGACATCTGTCACTTTAGTCCTCTCTCTCACTATTCTATTTGGTACCATATCTCTTCTAGTTATTCCCAACATTGCTCTTTCCATTTTTCTTTGGGTTACTCTCAATTTATTTGCAGAATGTTTGGTTAAAGTTATTGTTTCAAAACCATATGTTATTACTGGCATTGGTTGTAAACCTTTTTCTTTAAGCAAATAGGTAGTGTTCTTTTTAGAATATCTCGCATCTTGCCAAATACTGCCCATCCCAAGCCTATGCGACGCTGGATCTCACAAGTTTGATTGTCTTTTCCTATTCTAATTTCATGCCCTAAATAGATATAGCTAAAGACCTGATGTACTTCGTTCTCATCTACCCTCATAGCATCACTTGGAACTAAATTGGTCATGTATTTTGTTTTTTCAAAGTTTATGTTCTGGACTATTTGTTCTATTGCCTGTTTTAGTTCTTCCATCATTTTGTGAGCTTTATTTCAACTATCGGCTATAATGACAATATCATCTGCAAAGCGCAAGTGGCCTAAGTATTCACTATCAATATTTATTCCCCTTTTAGCCCAATCTAGTTTTTTAAAGGCATATTCCAGAGCTGCAGTGAATAGTTGGGGGGAGATGGTGTCGCCCTGTCTAATTCCTCGCTCAATTCTATATTTATCGGTAAAGTCATGGAGTTTAACAGATGCTGTTGCGTTGTTGTATTTAAGTTTTATCAAATTTGTATATCTATAGTCTACTCGGCTTTGTTCTAATGCTCCTAATACTGCCGGTAATTCCACGGTATCAAAAGCTTTCTTGAAGTCTATGAAAATCAAAGTGAGTGGTTTATTATATTAAGTAATTAAGATAACAACAAGCACACTATGTTACCCAAAAACTCAAAAGCAACGCATATATCTGAGACTATCTCTTAACAACTACAGAAACATCGGCGCGTTGATATGGTTACAGAGGAGAAGGAGCGAACCTTAGACGGAAACGCAACGAGAGCCTGTGGGTTCGCCCTTGCTCTTCTAGACAGTCTCTTCTAGACTTCTACAGAATTTTAGGAGTATGAAGGGCGAAACATGCTTTTATAATATACACAAGCATTCTTTAATGGTTTGTAAGAAAGATAAGACTGTTTTCGAAACGTACACTTTGCGAGTTCACCCTTATTCTTCCAAGCTCCTAATATAACGTCGTATTGTTCGTGTCTTGTAATGCAATTATCTATTTTAGCATTTAAATCGTCGATTATTATTTTTATATCTCTTCTATATAGCTTATGGTACATTGCTTCTGCTGATGGTGCTGGTGAGAAGAAGCAATGTACCATAAGCTATATAGAAGAGATATACCAGCAAAATCAGACAAAAAATCAAAACTAAATGCCATATCTTTAGACATGCTACAACAACGGAGAAGGCTACTACAAGAAAATAAAAGAAATACAACTAAATACAAAACCCTTAATACAGAAATAAGAAGACATATAAAACACGATCTCAAACGGCATTGGAAAGAACGAATCGAGAAGATTATAGAAGAAAACGGAAACATAAGATCTATCAAGTCCCACGTAGGAATAAATAAAATCATAGAGATGAAAAATAAACAAGGTGTAATAGAAAAAAGCAGAACCCAAATATCTAAGATAACAAGGGAATATTATAGCGACCTCTACAGCTCTAAAAACAGTCCACCTGATACAACTCAACAAAACCTGAAAAAGAAAATAATGAATGTAAACTCTGAAATATTACCCCCCATAACCAGAGAAGAAATAGAAAAAGCAATTAGAGATATGAAAAGAAATAAGGCTCCGGGAGACGATGAAATTCTAAATGAAATGTTAAAAGAAGGAGGGGAAAAGATAAAAGACTACCTAAAGATACTTTTCAATAAATGTTTATTTAAAGGACAAATACCGAAAGAGTGGATCAAGGCAAATACAATTCTAATAATTATATAAGAAAGGAAATAGATCAATATTAGCTAACTATTGACCAATATCTCTCTTGTCAAAAATCTATAAAACTTCACTAAGGTGATCACAACTAGACTAAACAATAAATTTGATGCATACCAACCAGTTGAGCAGGCAGGATTTAGAAAGGGGTACAGCACAACCAACCACCTTTACACTCAAAATATTGATAGAAGAGACCAACGAATACAACCTTCCAATATACCTAGCGTTTGTTGATTATTAAAAAGCGTTTGACAGCATAGAACTATGGACAGTGGAAGAAGCGCTAGTTAATTGACGAATAGATTAACGGTACAGAATGTTAATCCACAATATATATCAAAACGCCACTATGAGAATTCAGCTAGACAGAGATTTGCAAACTCCATTAATTAGAATTTGTAGAGGTGTCAGACAAGGGGATACAATCTCACCCAAACTATTTACTCTGGCGTTTGGGACAATAAAGGGATTTGTATAAACTAGAAATATTTAAATCATCTAAGATTCGCCCATGGTGTACTCCTGATAGCAACAACTATGGAACAACTACCAATAATGATTTCAGACCCACAAAAAACATCTCTTGAGAAAGGACTAAAAATAAATCTAAAGAAAACTAAAATAATGACTAATACAGAAGACAGATCAGTAATTACCATAGGCGGAACAAACATAGAGCACGTCCAAGAATATTATTTACTTAGGACAAGTTATCAGAGCAGACCAAAGTAACCAGACTAAAGAAATAACCAGAAGAATAAGAATGGGGTGGGCTGCATTTGGAAAACTATCATATACTATCAAAAACCAAAAAATACCTTTAAAGTTAAGAACGAAGGTATTTAATGCATGCGTCCTACCTATTCTGACATATGGTGCACAAACGTGGACCTGTACCAAAAGCAACTTAGATAGATTAAAGAAAACTCAAAGAACTATGGAAAGACAAATGTTGGGATTATCGTTGAGAGATAAAAAGAGAAACACGTGGTTAAGATGCAAAACCGAAACAACACACGCTGTCGAACATGCATTGAAAGATATCAGGATGGAATATGGAATAAAGAAGTTTGCCACTGGAGACCATACTGCAAAAAGATCAAGAGGTTGGCTGCAAATGAGATTGAAAGATGACATTGGGCAAAGCGCAGGTGCAATGTGGAAAAGACAAACAGAAGACAGAGACAAATGGAGACAAATGGAACAGGCCTACATTTAATACATGAATAGATTTTGGGCTATAAATAGATAGACATTGCTTCTTATTTTTCGTAGAATTCACAGAATTCCCATTTTTATCGTCTTCACTTTTTTCCTTTGTAAAGCAATAAATGTTAACTACAATGCATATTTATTTTGGTTTTCTATTTGTAATTGGTAATACTATTTATTAAATATATTCAAATAGAAACGAGAATAGAAACAAACGCCACTATGAGAATTCAGCTAGACAGAGATTTGCAAACTCCATTAATTAGAATTTGTAGAGGTGTCAGACAAGGGGATACAATCTCACTCAAACTATTTACTCTGGCGTTTGGGACAATAAAGGGATTTATATAAACGAGAAATATTTAAATCATCTAAGATTTGCCCATGGTGTACTCCTGATAGCAACAACTATAGAACAACTACCAATAATG